AGGGTTTGGTCGAGGAGACTGGTGAACTATAGGTACTGTTTATTATTTATTGTGTAATCCACTGGATGTGGTCCACTGAATTCGATATACTCAAGTATTACCACCATTGTTAATGTTGGAGTTCGGGCCCGGTAGGGGGTTTGATTGGTGGATGGAGATTGGAGTTAAGTGGTGTTCTACTGGACTTGTTACAGTACTTTGAGAGTTGACAGAGTGTCAACTGCTCCTCGACAAGCTGCGGCCGAATTTGCTCGTAAGAGTGAATTGTATCCTTATACCTGGAAGTGTCGAATACCTAATTAACTTGTTACTTGAAGTGTTATTGTTTACTTTCATGAACTTTTACGCTTGCCCACTTTGGGATTTCAAGTTTTATATAATGGCCAACTTGCTACTGGTTTTGCATGATGTTTTGTAACCTCATTGAGCTTTAGCTCACCTCATTAGTTTTGTTTTCCTTACAGGGGATGCGAGCATGGGCGTGAGGCTGTCACACGTTGGTTTTGTCTAGACTTTTGACTTTTGTATTTGTAATAGCACTAGTGCTCGATTAGGGTTAGGTGTTCAACTAGAACCTGAATCTTTTGTTACATTTGGGTATGTATGGATATTTGAAATAGCCACATGTATAAATGTATATTTTAAATTTGGGAACTACTACTTCTTTTACTTTTGAAGTTATAATTTATCTTTGAAATTGGGTGAGTGAGTCCTGACGAGAGCTAGGCAAGCGGTCCGCTAAACCCTGGGATACGTCCTAGGGAAAGGTGGGGTCGTCACACATACTACTCGAGTGAAGATGATATTAGGAGTTATTTTGAAGGTTGTGGCACCATAACTGAAATTGACTGTATGAAGTTTCCAAAGAGTGGAAAATTCAGAGGGATTGCCATCATTAGTTTCAAGGTATGTTCTGTAGTGATTTGGTTATGATGGCAAACTATTGCTTGTTTATTACACTTCAGTGTCCATGAAGACAGTTCATATTTATAGCTTGTTGTGGAATCCTTGTCTCATTGTTAACCAATTGCAGACTGAAGCTGCAGCAAGGAGAGCGTTGGCCCTTGATGGGTCTGACATGTAAGTCAAACTTATAAAGACTCTTTCTTTAGTTCCTGTAGAAGTTAATGTTGTTTATTGTCATGCTGAAGAAATTACTACATCTTACAGGGAAGGCCTATTCCTAAAAATTCAACTTTACAAATCTACTAGAGTTACCAAAACGTCTAACTTTTCTCCTAACATTGGGGAGGGGTACAATAGGATCTATGTTGGAAATTTGTCCTAGGATATCATTGAAGATGATTTGAGGAAATTTTTCTCAGTCTACAATATTACCTCTATCTGCTTTGGTGAAGACAAAAAAATAGGAGATTTTCGAGGTTATGCCCATGTGGATTTTTCATATAGTCTTTCCCTGAACATAGCATTGAAAGTGGATCAGAAGACTGTTTGTGGAAGACCCATTCAAATATCGTGTGCTATTCCAAAGAAAGGTTTTTCTCCCTAGAAAATAGAGCAAGAAAAATGTTCAGTGAAAAATTTCAAAATTGATCAGCTTAAATATACCTTAAGAAATGTTAGAGGGTTTAAATATTTTTAAGAATCCAATACTAGTGGATTTATAAATGTACATGTGTAACGACCCCATTTTCCCCTAAGGCGAACCAGAGGGGTCAACGGGCCGCCTGCCCAACTCTCGCCAGGACTCAGTCGATCACTACGGTGCTCAAGTAAATTACAATAGAAATCTCGTATTTTACATCAAATCCTTCAAGAATTACATATCATAACCGAAGCGGAAATTAATTCCCAAGAGTGGAATGTACACATACATCCGATCCAAATCCAAACACCCATGCAAGCCCAACATTACACAAGTTAAATCAAAAATCAAAGTGTACAAGAGAAATCCATCCATTCCAAGTCAGACAGTCACCCTAGCTCAACTATTATACAAAACGGATTCAAATCTAAACTACACAAGATACATGCCATCCCGCTACACAAATAATGTAATACAAGCGCTTCCTTTGCCTCGATTCCTGTGGGGAGAAGAAAACATTTGGGGATGAGCTAGAAGCTCAGCGAGTGAACAGTAAAACCGGTAATCCAATAAAATTAACAATAAGGTATTTAAGTGCTATCATGAATCAGCGACCAAATGTGCATATAATGCTCTTTGGAGCCAGTGAAATCCTTGTGCTTAAATATCCAACGCTCCCTTAGATCAAGTAACCAGATGAACAGAAATAAGGAGCCATCATGCTCCAAAGAATGCATAAACAGTAGCGGAGACATTGGTTTTAAGCACAAGATTTTCCCACGAACCCATTGGAGCCAAAATGTTATGGCACACACACATACACAATGAGATGCCATCATGTAATCAATGCAAGAATTATGTCAAAAATAACTTTTGGAGAAATAGTTGAGGTTCACTCACCAACCACGTCACACGAACCTTTTCCAGCATACATCATTGACTTGCTCAAGTCGGAGCCCTAAATTACAAATATCAAGTCAAGCAAATGAATTCTAATATTATCAAGCTTCTAACACCTTTTGGTATCTTAATCATAATGAAAGCCACACTCATCCGGTTGATGCAAATCTTATGGCGTTACGAAGCTAAGACATATACCAACATTTCTTATGAAGACCTCCAAGGCCAATTATACATATTCAGGGTCAAAATCCGAATCTTAGAGAAAGAATGAAAACTGTCATGAAACAGGGGTTATGGACAGTTAAGGGTACTTCGGACATTTCACAAGCTACAGTGGTCCAAACGATCTGAAATTTTGCAGGTAGATAGCTAACTCATATACGCACAACTTTCATGTTTTGAGAAAAAGCTGATTCGGTCTAGAGCGCAGAGAAAATGACAGTCCAAGTTCAGTCCAGAAACAGGGAAAAACTAAAATTACCCTTCTTGAACCAACCTTTGCATATAACCATCACTAATCACAATTAAGGACTAGAAATCCCCACTTAACATGAGACTAGCCTATACTAATCGTGTACATGCCAAAACAAGGATGAATTAACTTAGACAAAGTTGAGAAATATCACTAATATGGAATCTTAGCAGCCCATCTTCCAATTCATAAAAATTTCCATAAATTTAATCAAGATCACACAATTCAAATCAATCATATACTTTCCAAAAATGGGACAGCATTTCCCCTTAATTTTACACATTTCCAACCTACCATTCAATACCACATATACCTCAATTCAACCCCATTTTACATACAACTTATAGGCTAGCAAATATACTCAATTAGGGCCACAATACCCCTTAAGCAAAGCCAATAAACCAGTCACAAGAAAATCCCCAATTTAAACCCTAGCAACCGGAATCTTGCCCTACAAGTGGAAATTTTCCGTAAACAATCATAATTAACGCACACGAGCTTCATTTTAACACCATAACAAGCTATCAATTCAAGACCAATCCACAATTATAATATAAAATCAGAAAATTCCTAATAAATCAGAAAATCACCATAAATTCCTTCAACCCATGAAATACTTCACAAAACAACACATATCCACCACCACAAACCACTTATTAACCAATACTAGAGCAAAGGAAACTTGTATATTCACTTACCCCAAATTCAAGAGAGCTTTCAACTTAGAGCTTCCCCTTGAAAACCAATCCATCAAAAGCTTTGAACCACCATAGTGCACCCTTGTGTGGAGTAGCTTCCAAAACCATTGGTGAAATCACAAGATTTGGGACAAAATTGAAGTTGGAAAATGAAGAGGGTTTCTCCCTCTCAAAGCCTCGGTTGAGCAGAAGCAAAAAAAATGAAGATATTTTGGGTGCAAAACAGGATAAAAGAGAAGGAAACAAGCGGTCAAAGTTGGCTGCCGGACATGACACGTCACAATCCGGCCGGAATCTGGCCGGATTTCAGGCCGGATTCTTGGCCGGATTCGTGGCAGTAGCTAATCAAAATTTTTTCAAAACTGCAAGGCAATCCGGCCAGCTATCCGGCCAGAAGCTGGCCGGATTTCCGGCCGGATTTGGCCCCTACCATTTTTCAAAACTTTTCTTCTTCTCTTTTTTTTTTTCCGAGTTGAAAACTGTGTTACTCCGCTCGTCCAACAAAATATACATAAAATGAAAACCCTTTTTTTTTTCGGGGCGTCACAACATGAAGATGAGAACACTGGCAATCTCCCTAGTTTACAATGCTACACATTGATGATGAAATCTACCTCTCTTCAACAAGTAATTTTGGATAGATTTCAAGATCAAAGCCATGTCTACAAAGGTTTCCCATTGGAATTGGAATTCTTAATCATTGTTGGGGCAATCCATCCTTGATTCTTAAGAACAATTGCTTGATCTAATCAATATGTCAGTGCAAAAGAATTGGAGGATCTTCAAAGAACTAAATTTGAGGTCAAATTTGGTTCAAAGGTCGGATTTGTTATTTGGCTCACACCCAAGTGTGTGTTTAGTAGAGAAAAGGTTTTGATCTTTTGTCATGCCATTGCTCCAATCAATTTGTTTCTTGAGCTATTTGTTGATTTTTGTTCATGGTAGCCCCAAACTAAACTTCACAAACAACACTCAACAATTTAGATAATAAGAATCATTGTTATAATTCCTCAAGTATGCATTCATATTTCACAAATTCTATCCAACTGTATGTTCATAGTGCAACAAAAGTCGTAGCTAAATTGTTACAATTATTGAGAAAAATAATAAGAGAAGTAAAGGACAATAGTTTATTTCTCTAGAAAACTTACTTAACTCATAACATGAAATTGCTCTATTTATAGAGTTCAAAACAACTTCACTAACTATCCCAATAACTCTACTAACTCCACTAGCTAGTCCACTAATTCCACTAGTTACTCCACTAATTTCACTAACTCCATTATTTAGGTAAAACAAAATAAACAAACATGATTAATTAACAACAGTAAATATTTCTAACAATCTCTCCCTTAAACTGAAAGTGTCTCAAACATTCAATTTAATAGGACTTATCAACTACACAGACTGCAAGCAGCTTCCTTAATTTCTGAAACGTGGATAACTTCAATGGCTTGGTCATTATGTCAGCAATCTGATCTTCACTTTTGCAGTAGAGAAAATCAATTATTCCATCTCTTGCGAGCTCCCTTAGAAAGTGAAACCACACGTCTATGTGATTGGTTCTTCCATATAGAACTGGACATTTAGAGAGTTTGATGGCAGAACTATTGTCACAATAAATTGTAGTAGCTCCTTCTTGCTGAAAATGCAAATTGTCAGGAATATTCCTTAGCCAAATTACTTGACAAGCACAGACCATTGTAGCTACGTACTCTGCTTTAGTTGTTGATAAAGTAACAATTGGTTGCTTCTTTGAACACCATGAAATAGCTGCTGAACCCATCACGAATACATATCCAGACGTACTCTTTCTATCATTAGAATCACCTGCATAGTCACTATCAGTAAAACCAAACAAACCTAATTTTTCACTGTTCTTGTAGAACAACCCATACTCAATGGTTCCCTGCAAGTATCGAAGGATCCTCTTGGTAGCTAGAAGATGTGTCTCCCTTGGACTTTCCATGTATCTACTAATAAGACTTACAGCATGCATAATATCAGGCCTAGTGATTGTCAAATATATCAGGCTTCCCACAATTTGGTTGTAAAGGCTGCTATCAATCCACTTTCCTTCAGGTTCTCTGATGAGTTTTAAACCCACTTCAACTAGCATACTAACAGAATTATAATTCTTCATTTGAAACTTGTTCAGAATTTCTTGTACATATTTTTTTGAGAGACAAAAATTTCAACAGTAGATTGCACCACTTCAATGCCCAAAAAATAATGCATCTTTTCAAGATTAGATATATCAAATTCAGCCATAATAGATTTCTTGAATTTCTCAAACATGGCACTATCATTTCCAGTAAAAATAAGATCGTCAACATATAAGCAAACAATGAGCAATTTACCTCCATCTCCAATCTTTATAAAAAGTGTATGCTCTTATGGACATTTTTTAAATCCCTCCTTAGAAAATAAGCATCTATATGACTATATCAAGCACGTGGGGTTTGTTTTAACCCGTATAATGCCTTCTTGAGTTTGTACACCTTATGTTCACTTCCAACCTTCACATAACCAGGAGGTTGATCAACAAATACCTGTTCCTGTAGATCACCATGTAAAAATGTTGATTTCACATCCAACTGGAAGATAGGTCATGAATGTTGTACTGCCAATGCAATCACTATCTTGATAGTGTCATGCCTTGCGACTGGAGCAAAGACTTCTCCATAATCCACCCCAAACTTTATAGCCTTTAGCTACTAAACGTGCTTGTATTTTTATCAACTTCTCCATTCTCCTTTAATTTCGTCTTATGCACCCACTTAATATCAATTGATTTTTGTCCTTTTGGAAGATCAGTTAACTCCCATGTGTTGTTTTGTTCAATAGCTGCAATTTCTTCATCCATTGCCTTCTGGCATTTTGAATCTTTGACAGCCTCTTCAAAAAACTGTAGGACCACAATCGAAAAATAGAGCAAAATATATAAGTGGGTCCTCAGATTGGTCAATTCCGGTTACCTCATAATCGATCATCCTTGCGGGCCTTTTTCTAGTACGTTCAGGTCATCCTTCATTTTCTACTACTGTTTGGGAATTTGAAACATTATTTGAACCATCTAATGGAATTTGTTCTGTCAACTGCTGCTTGTTCTTGTGACGCCCCCACTTCTCCCTAAGGCGAACCAAAGGGTATCCGCGGGACGCCTGCCCAACTCTCGCCAGGACTCACTACAATCCACAATTCAAAAGCTCGAAATACTTCAATAATACTTCAAATAACTTCAATACATAATAAAAGTACTCCAAAATATCTCACACTTACAATTAATCAGCTCTCAAACTTAATACAACCCAAAAGAATATATACTACAGCTATCTGCTGTAATACAACTTAAAATCTTCAAAAGAAAGCAATCTAGTGCAATTCACGAGCACTCTTGGTCTCGAACCCTATTAAGGAAAACAAAATCGTGGAATGAGTTACACAGCCCAGTGAGGTTCCAAGACACTCTAGCAGTTCTAATAAATCAAATAATTGAGCATACCGCATGTATGGTTCAGGGTTGCATGTTGACATATGAACATGAGACAATTATCATTCTACGAGTAATTTGAGCATATCACAGGTATAGCACATTTGCATGAAACGGTTATCATTATGTAAAATAAACACACATTGAAAGATACGGTGTTCCATTGGAACGATTTCGGTCAACTGCATCTTATAACTTCCGGTCCCCACGGTACGGTCTGGCCATCGCCTTATCCCTCCAGTGGTAGTACTCGAGTATACCGAAACGGTGGCCCAGGGTTCCAACCTATCCGATCGAGCCTAGTCTTGGCTCGAGTAGGTTAGTAACCAAGGGCAAGGCCCATGTTCAGATTAGAGCTTACAACATGCACAAGTAATCAAATAACTTGGCGAACAGTAAAAATTTATTCTTTTGGTAGGTCGAGTGAGATAAAATACACACTCGCCTTAAAATGGTGGACAATTTCATATGAGCAATTACTAGCAACAATTAACACATAAACACGTAAGCAATATTTGATAATTTCATGTGAACATGTAATTTACGGTAATCAAGTAATCAAGTAGATAGGAAAACAGTAAGTAATTACGGTAAACGGTTAACGGTTGACGGTTAACGGTAGTAATCACGGTTAATTGGTAGACATTTGTCATTTTAATAGGCCGTCATTGGCCGTTTCTCACTTTACCACTTAAGAGTCGAGGAGGTTCACTCCATCCGATTTATGCAGCCATAGCATAATTAATCATTTAAACACATCACATGAATATGCAATTCAAGTATTTCATGTCGAATAATTCAAGTAGTCACGTAAATATGCTCTTCAAGCATTTCATATCTAGTAATTCAAGTATACCTTACTTAGATATGCATGAGTGTGGTAAATACTTAACATGTAGCACTTAATACTTAATGACTATGGGATAAGCATGTCATAGACTTATTCAAATTACGTACTTTTATATGGAACACTCACCAAGTGGTTCACGAAACAAGTACAAGCAATTGTTTTAAGCATGTCCCGTGAGATCCTCTTGAAGGTCCCCTTGAGTGCCTGAACGAACAATAATTACTTCACTCAAAATCATGCATTTACCAAGAAAGGATGCGCACTCATTTAGACTAAGTCAAAATCTTAAAAGAAAGCTTCAGTTCTCTCAACTCGAAGTTCAAGAGTGAAGCTTTAAAGTCTGAAGAGAGAGAGACTAGCTTTTCCCATGAAATCGAGTTCAAAACGCTCAATCGATATCGAGAAAGAAGTCAAGTTTCCAAAATTTCATTTTCTAAGAAATTGGCAAATTTCAGCTTTGTGTGTCAATCTTAGAAAAATTGTATCTTGCACTATATAGGTCCCAATTTGGAAAAATTGGTACCGTTGGAAACCTCTTCCAAAGTACTAAAAGTTCCTAGAAGACATTTTTTCATGATTCCATCCGAAAGGTATTCCAAAATCGGCTCAAAGTTGCTGTTTTGGACTCGTAAAACAGCTTCGGGGTTGGTTTTTGGCCAATTTTGGAAATTCGGTAAAATTCACAGAATGTGAACTAGCCTATGAAATTTAGAACTCAATTAGAGTTGCAAGCCAGATTTAAAACAAAACAAGCCAATCAAGAATCGGAGTTTCGAATACCAAGATACGACAGCTCAAAGTCGGTGAAAAACCGAAACCGTTAAGCAAAATTCCAGATTTACATTTCAAACTTTGGGACTTTGGTTAGGTATCGAATCGGACTCGGAACGGCACCAAATTTGGTATGGATATACTACCATATGAGGGCCATTCCAATGCCAAATTTCATAGGAAAATATGTATGACAAATCGGTTAATGAGACCGTTGAAATCACAAGATATTCTAAGGTTAACCTGCCTTTGAACTTCCGTTTTGCCGTTTTCAAACATTTGGCCAAGAAACATCTCAAACATGGTCCATTCCAGTAGGTAATGTCTAAAATATGTCCAAGGTACATTTGATAGGTAATTTACACCAAGAAGCTTCGGATAACAAGTCCCAAATCATTGTTAGTTTCAAATCTGTCCAAATGCAGGGTATACCTTCACAAGACCAGATTCAAATTTTGATCATAAATCACTCAATTCAACTCAGAATTGAGTGTGGCTGGTGGCGTTAGAAAATAGACTCATAAGGCTATATTTTCTTAGAAGAAACCATTTTCAAAAATCTGTATATAACCAGCTCATTCGTGAGCATCAAGTTATAGCTCATATGCTGCCTTCCAGGAAGCAATGAAACAGGACAGCAAATTTCAAACGAGTGGTTTGGCTTTCTCAAGTGGAACCAGGACATGCATTTTATACCAACGGAAATCTGGGAATGTCTAGTTTCCAGTGCCACCAACGACACTCAATTTCAACATTGGAGTAAAAAGATATAACCGAAACAAAAATACTGCCTGGGTGAATATGGGAATAGTTTCCAGATTTCTAAGCTTTCATAAATCCAACATTTGGGTGACCAAATCAAGTTATTTTTCAATGAAACTTTTTACACACACAATATAAAATGTAAACAACATAAACAAGTCATTAGAACCTCAAAATTTCGCACCAATGTGCTCGAACAAAGCAGGGGTAAAATGGTCACTTTTGGTCATTGCACCATCCTTGAGTTTCTATCAACAACCCAACATTAATCCACTAGTTTAAGCACTAAATAAACATTATTACCATCAAAACATCACAAATCAGTCCATATATCCAAGGTGGGAGTTCATAGAGCCCACACAACCAAATTTTCCTCAAAATAATGCTACCTACTAACATGCATGAGTATATATGAGCACTAGAACTTCCATAAACCAAGTTTTCAAGGTTTGATCGTTACCTACTTCACTTGGTGTGCAAAACAGAAATTTTCGGTCCCTCCTTAGCCCAAGAAAATCGTGAAAACAGCCCCTTTTTCTTAGCTTAGTGTAGTCTCCAAGTGATTAGCAATGCATGGTGAAAATTTGGTGTGATTTGGTGGAGGATTAGTGAAGATTCGATGAAGGAAAAATGAAGAACTTTGGTGGGTTTTCTTCTTGAGGTGCACGGCTGTCTTAGAGCAAGAAAATGAGAGTGTTGCACATCACTTTAGATGATGAATTGAAGGGTTTTGATCTAGTATGATGCACCCATGAGAAGTTTAATATTGTGTGGCCCATAATGCTCCAAAAGTCAACTAAGGATAGTGCGCGTACACGCGCGCTCCGTGCTCGATTCCTCTCGGGTTTATTTCACTAGTGCACTAAATCTCTAATGCACTTGTATACATACTATTGTTATTCACTATTAATAGTAGTTTAAAAATAATGGCCTTAAGTCCCTCAATTAATCGCGCGCGTAAAAACGCGTACATCCGATTTAAGCGCGATATAGTAAAATTTTCAAGAAATTCTTATAACGATAGTATAACTAACTAATAATTGAACACTTAAACATAAATATGCCTATTTTAAGACTAATATACATGTCTCCAATTTTTCAAGCTCATTGTACTCTCAGATCGGCTATTGTCTCCAAACGCGTATTCACTATTCTCACTTAATGAGCTTCCAAAAATTAAATTTTGAAACTAGCCACTTTAAAAATATAATTAAGTTATAGACCCATGTAATTAGGTCTAAAGAGCTTAGAAAATAATATTCGGAGTAAATGACCAAGTAAATAATTAAATAAGCTAGAAATAGGAAATTTAAATAAGTAAATTTTGCGAGTCCTCACATGAGTCGAGTATTAATTCCTCAATTAATCTTTCTTAATCTACCATTGGTCATACTTAACTCTCCAATATTAATACACTCCCGATTCATGTATAGCCTCGAAAGACGTGCACTCGTGGTTTCGAACTAGACGAATTTTTCAAAAAGTGAATTTTCCAACAAAACGCTTTAAAAATATAAAAGAGGCGTTGTTCCATATAAATGGATTTTAAATGGTCGAAATAAATAATTCGGAGAAAATGAGTAAATAAATATTTAAGTAACCTTGTAATATTCGATAAATAAGAAAATTTTCGGGTCCTCACATCCTCCATTCCTTAAAAGGAATTTCCTCCTTGAAATTCACACCTAGGACAATATCATATTCCTTAAGAGTTATACTTATCAAATCGATCAACAACTTACACTTTCCAACCCATATCTCACAATTTCTATTCATCCAATTAGCAATCAACTTTAGTTTCCCAATAGGCGTTTTGCTTCCAAGTTGTAGAACAAGTGATCTCACTTTACTTATACCATTCATGAAACTAGGGTTTACACAAGAATAATTGGCTCCAGGGTCAATTAAAACTCCAGTTTAAAAGATTCAATCTAGTAGTTCAAAACTCGAATAGAGTGATATATTGTCAGTAGAAGATTAAACTTACCAAAATTTTCGGACTTAATTTGTCCAAATCGAGTCAATCATAGCATGCGAGATAAAATCGAGGGTTTTAATGTATTTTGGATATGTATGTGGCAAAATGTAATTCAAAATTTTAAAACTAGAGTTAAAGA